GAAACAATCGCAAAACACTGATGCATAATACAAATTTATTTACCTAATGGTTAATATGCGTTTTCGTCATTGTCGTCATCCCGTTCAGTGAACTCCTCTGAGTTAATCGAAACAATTTCTTCCTCGTCATTGCCTAACGTCCCATCCATATTGACGTTATTTTGATAGTTGGTAACTTACAAAATATGAAGGAAGGACCTTGAGTGTTCACGAAAGTCCTTTATGAAAAATTATAACAACACTAATCAAATTACCTCGTTCGTCTACTCGGTTGTGAGAAACCGCTAGTTGTTCTACGGCCATTTCTCCAACATGCGGATTAAATATACGGCCTCCGTTCTCTATGGCAATGAGAATCTCTCACCTCATAATGGCAGTACGTGGCTGTTTCATAAGTTCTAACAGCGCTCTTCAATTGACATTATGTAGTGGAATTTGTTAGACACAATTTGAAATAAACTAGAGTGTATTAGACAGAAACATAAGATTCATGTAGACACAGGTATTAACGATTCAGAACGTATATGAATAACAGTGAGAATCGATGTGATTCAGGATTCTTGTTCAGTCTATTTCTCTTCGTCATAATTGAGTTATCAAATATGATGTGTATAAATTTTGTATATTTGATTGTAATAAGATGGTGTTATTTGAACGAATTCTTGCAGATGTAGATGAGCGAAGATTGGAGGTGATTATGGATAAATCACGACATAATTTGCTTACTATATTGTTGTTATTATTATTATTAGGGATTTGATTTATTCTCTGTTGATATTAATGACTGAATTTTGACCAGTCTTCATTTGTATTTCGGTGTAAAAATTGACACTGAAAAACAGGTGAACCTATCTGATGAGTCACAAATAGGACGGAAGGGATTTCTTAGGTTCCACATGCAGACATCAATCCACTATACTAAAATTGTCTTGTGACCTAATATCACTATCCAGACCATCATTTCAACTTACGAATATGTCAATAGAGACTCATCAGTCAAGAGGTATTATTGACGACTCTGCATATTTTGTTATGTTTTAAATTAGTTCGTGTTCAAAGTTAAAGTACCTTGACTGTAAAGTATTTTTATTTAGTCATTTAAGCGTAGTTGATTTATTCACTCATCTTGATAGATGGAATAGCTTCACTTTTCTTTTACTGAAAAATATATTTAATATTTGGCTTTAATTTATTATTCATTCTACTTATTTATTGCCAAGCAAAATTTCATCTGAATCTAATTGATCATGCTCCACTTGGAAAATTACTTAAGTTTCAAGTGTGACTTTCAAATCTTCAGATTGAGCAACATTTTACTGTAATTACCAAATAAGATTATTATGAATAATATTAGATAGTTTAAGTGATACTTAGATAAGGTCAGTGTGAATGAATGGTCTAATAGTTGAAAACAAAGAAAAAAAACATATGTTTAAAGGTTAGTAATAAAATTGGTTTCATACTGATGTGAACAGAGAAACAAGAAGCCTTGACAAACTGCGGGAGCTATTTTTAGGGACGTTATTTCAATTAATTCAAAGCTTGTCCATAGTCTATTCTACAGATCATAAGTTTTCGTTTGATGTAAGATTCACTGCCATAGGCCTTTTTGTTACAAAGCTATTGTAATTTAAGTGTATTATTTTGTACTTTTTTCTACGATAATCCCCAGTCTTGGATATAATTGTATTTTCTTAATTATTGTATGTTATTGTCAGGTTGGTCAACTATTTATTCATTTATCTTTTTACACTGATCTGAAATCGGGAACCAGATCGGAAGTGAGAATAAATCGAGTAGTGTTCCAGTTGATTTGTCTTCTCTCACTCGCGCGCTTGTCAGCCTCTGATTTATTTGGTAAACATGAAAATGAACAAAATGTAGTTTGTCAAATTCGTCTTCAGATTGGACACTTGGTTGAAGGCAGCTTAAGGACTAGTAGGTTTTGAGATAGCACTCGTAGGTAAAGCAGATGATCACTAGACCTAAAGACGATATAAAGCTAATTAATTAATTAGCGGACATAACATTTATCTGCTTCTATAATAAGTAACTTGATCATACTACGACAAAACAAATAGAAATTCTTTTTTGAAGTTAGATCATTTTACGTTCCATATTTCTGTAGTATCAAATCTACCTTTGTAGATTCCAGTGCCAGCATACACTCACAACCTGTATGTCATCTAAATCTCCGTTTATGTTGCCTGTTTCATGAGAAAATTCGTAGGAAAAATTCCTGCTAAACAGAAAATTTAACCACTTAGTTTCGTCAACTGATAAAATTTAAATCAATGACAGATTTTCCGCTGTTACTTTTGATAATGTGGTCGGAACAGAATTACGCTTGATAGTCAGGTAGTAAATTCATTGGTAGATGAGTGATCTACAAAACTGTTTTTCATTACATTGTTACATGATACATTACGATGCAGTTTAAAATTTTCTGTAAGAATTGATTAGTATGGTAAATTCAGTATTGGTGAGAACTTAAGCATAAGTACTTACTTACTTGAGATAGATGTATAGTGACGAGTTTCACTCCACTGATTATTCGACGATGATCCGTAGTGTCGCAATTCGGTCTGTGCACGACCGATCCTTACGGAATCCAGCCTGTTGATCACGAAGTTGGGCGTCTACTGAGTCTTTCATTTAAGCATCAGTGATCCTTCAATAAAAATTACTAGAAAGTTTTGCTAAAAATCTCTCAAACTGTGGATAACTTTGATTGAGGAAAGATAAAAGACAATTTTCAAACACTTCCAAACCTTTGTCAGAGACTGGATCTGAATACATTGCTAGGAATAGATAACTTTTAAACTGTTTCAAAATAGCGTTTCGTTTTTCGTTCTTCAGTAAAACTAAATTATACCGATAAGTTATCCAAAATACAGATAGCGGAATTAATTTTTGGGTGAGAGTACATTATAAGAACGAGCTTAGAAAAACCACAACACATTTTCAGCCAGTTCTTAGACAATTATAAAACATCCATAGTAGATGGATGGTTTATTGGAATGTAAACAATGGTATTACAAAAAGCGTAAATACATCCTTGAATATTTGATAAATTTATTAAATTCTACAGGTATGTAAATTGTAAAAACAATGATGTGTAAATTCGTACTGTTAATCTTCTAAAGACCTAAACATATTTTTAAGAATCCTCACACTGTTCCTACTTAGGGTTAGCGTTCTCAACACAGATTTGCATCAATCATTATACAAAAGCGCTATGTAGCCATAGAGATGAGTGAATTTAACTTAAAAATAAATGATGCGCTATCTGATTAGTTTATTTATAAAATACAGTCTTAGCAGATTATGGTCACTTTCAAGATTGAGGGTTTAAGCCTAGAATTTTCCCGTCGAAATGCAAAATCTTGCTTCAGGATTGGGTTGCATCCAAATCTGAACTAATCATAGGGAGTGAAGTAGTTGAATCTGTCGACCGCTTCATTTATCTTGGGAGTTTCACCAGCCTTTGTGGTTTGGTGTGTGACGAAATTTCTGGACAAATAATGAAGGCTCAACTAGCTGTCACCAACTTACGTCATTTATGGCGAAGGCCAGATATCCGTCTACCAAACAAAGGACTGATTTACTGCACAGCAGTTCGCTCCGTCCTACTCTATGGGAGTGAAACATGGCCGGCAAGAGTATATGATATTCGCAAGTTACTAGTATTCCACCATAGGTATCTTCGAAGCATTGCCTGTATATTCTGGGACCACCGAGTAAGTAACGCAGTTGTCAAGAAATGCGTACTAGGTAAGGATGGCAAACCAATTGATGAAATAGTGAAACTTCAACACTTGAAATGGCTGGGGCATGTGTTACTACGTGTCCACAACCACTGACTGCCTCGATGAGCGATGTTTCATGGTGTAGGAGTAGGTTGGAAGAAAGCTAGGGGCGACCAGATAAAAACATGGCACAAATCCATGAAGTCACTGACAAGTGGACTGAGCCGTGTTGGTGGTGTAGACTGCATAGTTGGGATCCGCGAGACGATAGAAACTGATGGTAAGAAACCTTGAATGGTATGGCTCACAATCGTCTGCAGTGGTGCAGGTGTATCCACTCTTTGTGTTCTCCCAAATTCTAATCTTCTAAATTCTTCATGTCCATTTCTTTTTTCTTTTTCCAAATTTATTTCAATGGATTATACTCCTTGAATAACATCTTCACACCCTAATCTTTCCGATTACTGCTTATACTTTTACTATCTCTACTACTATGGGATTTGAATAGATAATTTATATCACTGTGCTAATATGGTATGGCAACTTGAACTGATGTACGTACGTACGAAGTTCTACACTGTTACTGACTGACTGACTGACTGACTGACTATCTTGAACCACAAATTCCTTTCATCATTCAAAAGTACTGTGAATTGTATTTTGTTTTTAGCGTAAATTTCTATACATCATAATCAAAATACTATCTTATGAAAACCTAAATTATCAGTTGAACAATATGTTAGTTGAATTTCCTATGTTCCGAAATATATGAATATTATAAATGTCATGGATATTATTTGCCTTAAAATGGTACTAGAACAACACCAATCAAATATCATAATGTTCAACTATGTTAATTAAATACAGTTGACTAACGATTACACTTTTAGTTATATCAACAAATATCCTATATATAACAAATATTCAACAACCTCACAGGGTTATACTTAACAATTAAAGTTCATAAGAAGTGAATTTGTTTGTACAAAGACACCTGTGAACTAATCTAGTCGTAGATAAAAGAGTGAAAATAAAACAACAACATTCATGTAGCCTATTTCTCAACTGTCTTTTATCAACAAAAAAAACAGCTTCATAATTCACTATTTATTTATTTTAATATAAAATAAAGAAGTACATTCTTTTTGTGGAAATTGTAGTAATTTCAACAGTTCAGATCATGAATTAATTGAAACTAGACCATCATGGAAAACCTGGAAACATTGGACGACCGTCTCATCCTATTTTTGGACTCCTCAGTAGTGTACATCTACGACTCCACCTTTCGAGATTAGAACTCTGGATCCACTCAGTACTTCCAGGTTTTCCATAGTGATCTAACTTCAATTAACTCATGATCTCAACTATTGAAATACATATATATTATGGTGATGATGATGATGATGTCGGATTCCAAATATGCCACATGATATTCATATTCAATGGATTTTTAAACATTTCTAACCAATGTTTATATCCTGTTGTATGTGGATATTGTAATCCAATATTTATTTCACCTAATATTTGTTTAATATAATATAATTGAATATAAATTTGTACATCTTTTAAATGATCAATTTTGTTTAAATTGACATTCATCGTATGATTAAAATAGAAATTTTGTAAATCTTTATATGATTTAATCCTTTCATATTGAATTAGTTTATTATAACGAATTATATAAACCATAACATAAACTTTATTCTCAGTTGATGATATTGATGATTGAATAATATTTTCAAGGTTAAGATTGCGTAATTCAATTAAACGAATATGAAGACAACACGGATCATCATTATTACTATTAACTATTACTATTATTATTAATAATATTATTATGATTACTATTATTATTATTATTATATTGTAAACCAATACATATTTCACCTAAATCCGATAAATTACTTGTATATAATTTTAACATTTCTGTAAATCTATATTCTTGATTAAAGTATAAATTTGTATTAATATTATTAAGTAGTATATCTAGATATCCAATACATTTATCTTGACCAATAGAATCATTTATATATAATTCAATACTTAAATTTATTTCAACTAATTTTGATTGTATTATATGAAAATTAAATAATTCATTCCATATTGGTTTGAATCCATTCACATAATGAGTTGTTCTTTGTTGATCATCTAATAGAATCCAATATTGATGATCATTATCCCATGTGAATAAAGTTATTATGATATATGTATAATAATTTGTTAATTCGAATGGAAATTTTAAATTATCCGCATTCATAATTTTTATAGTTAATATATTGGATATTGTACAATAATTCAAACTACAATTTAATATACCTTGTATGGTATAAATTTGATTAGATTCAAATGATTGAAAATATTTTTCACCTTTATTCATTGATATGAATGTTGAAGGTTTATTGAAAGGGATTAGTTTATAACAAGTTGATATGATTACATAACTCGTCATAGTTAATAATAGAAATCCAAATAATATACAACAAATAAGAAGAAATATAGCTAATGATATATTTTCTACATGGAAAAAATTTAAAAGATCCATGAGAAATGAATCATTATTCTATGATGATGCTGATGATGATGATAATCCAGTTCTAGATCTAAACTTTTGAATATGTTAAACATCATTAACAACATTAATTACCATGGTAATTCACTGTAGATCGGTTTTGTAACGATTAGACCTCAGACATATATATATATATATATATATATATATATATATATATATATATATATATATATATATATATATGACCTCATATATTAAATTAAAGAAAACTATTATTCCAACTTACTAAACAACATGTATCATACCACTTGTAAGTTAAACGTTAAAGTGGTTGAAGTGTGTACAGTTTACTTTGTTTTGTTGTTTTAAAGAGAATCAAAGTAGTTTATTATTATACAACTTAAGTTAGAGAAAATAAATGAAAACACTTATAATATAACAAAAGAAAATTGATTTGGAACAGATAACAGATAAATCAAATTGATTAGAAGAAGGAAAAAAGGGTGATTTTCAAAAAAAAGCAACATCTATATTTACGCTTCTTCATATGTTAACAGCATATTAAGAGAAAGTCAGTATTAGAGTATATTAGCAGAAAACTTTAATGCCTGATGGTATAAATCAGTTTTTTTTTAAAAAAGTAAATATTGACTTAGATATGTTCAAACTATCCTACTACATACTTACTTACTTACTCCTATTACTCCTAATGGAGCATAGGCTGCCGACCAGCATTCTCCAACCCACTCTGTCTTGGGCCTTCTTTTCTAATTCCACCCAATTCTTGTTCATTTTTCTCATGTCTATCTCTATTTCCCGGCGTAATGTGTTCTTTGGTCTTCCTCTTTTTCTTTACCCTTGAGGATTCCATGTGAGGGCTTGTCTTGTGACGCAGTTGGGTGCTTTCCTCAATGTGTGCCCTATCCACTTCCAGCGCTTCTTCCTAATTTCTTCCTCCGCTGGGATCTGGTTTGTTCTTTCCCACAGTTGGTTGTTGCTAATAGTATCCGGCCAACAGATCCGAAGTATTTTATGTAGACGACTGTTAATTCAAATCTTTAGGAGAATATCAGTTTTCTGAAAGTCTCGGACATAGTTCATTATTAACTACTTTTAAATACAAAACATCAGGATCTTGTCAAGTTTAGTCTCTACAATAAGGTAGTCAGTTGATCTGTATGACGATGTTGAGTATTTCAGCTTCATAAATATACAGAAGAAGAATCATACAAGTCATTATTGATCACTCATTGTTAATTTATTAGTACTCAATAAACAAGTGACTACAAATTTTACATTTTTAATGTGAAAATGAAACAACTACATGGAATATGATAATGAAGTTTTATCATTTCCTTTCAGGGTATTTTTTTCATAGTATCCGATTAGCATGACATCGTTTGCTATTGTCAAAATTAACATGGTACAATATTCCTCTGGACGACATAAATAGTTAGAAATCACGATTAGTATAGAATAAGCAGCAAAATGTAACTAAATTACTGGTTTTTTGTGTATAAATTAAATCAATCTGGAACTGTAGTATTGAAGAATTACAGTAAAATAAGAAGTATGAAGACTCACCTTACCAGCATAAGCTTTCGCAGGTCATTGGACAATATATCAAAAGCACAAAAGCCAAAGCTATGGACTCATTTTTTTATTCACACAAGCAGTGGATGCTTTGATTGGTTTTATGCTGTGTTTAATTACAAACTTTTATATTTAGTCCCATTGCTCTATGTTTCAATCTTTTTTTCACTAGCCATAAAATGTAGAAGATATATTAACATTAATTTTCTTAGAAACTCAGTCTATAATATCAATGTCATCTTTATCAATAAGTAGTCCACTGTGCTAATCCAACTGTTAATATTTTCCAGTCCTTTTATCTTTACCTTCCTATAGAATAATTTAAAGTATTTTTGATGATGTTCGAGTGTCAATAAGGAGATTTTCGTAGTTAAGATTAATAGATTTTCGGCATATCTAAATCACTTTTAGACTTTCGTAACCATCTTTTCTCAGTTTCAGAACAGATTATTCATTTTACTCTTTTCATTTAACTTTACTATACCTACTCTCTTGAGCAAAGTTAATAAGATATGAGATAAACTATTCTAATCATATCTTAGTCGTCCTGTAACATATATTTACTCTTACCAAATACTCAAGTGAAACCTTGACCATTTTTTACACAAGACTATATGATAATATGAATGTCAGCCCAGTTTCTGTATTTTTTACATAATCGTTGAGTAAATGAGTTGCCTTTTTATTATATGAATTGACGCACTAGCGAATTCCATTGTTTTATATATTTAGTGCATCTTTTATTACTGGTCTGCCTTTCAATCTTAGCATGTTTGTAAGATGTGCATCCAGTATACAATTCATATTCGACTTTTATTACATTCACGCTGTATCAATAGGATTTATCTTCAGAATGTGTGGAAAGTTAACAGCATATAAATTTAATTAGCGTCATCACTCGATCATTATGAATTTAATGTCGGGCTGTAAACCTTTAAACTTTAATATGTCATTCATCTCCTTGTTGTCTAACAGCTTTGCAACCCATGACATACTTCATTGAAGATATTGAGTTATAGTTTAGTTTGTCTACATGTATTTAAGCTACTTACGACAAAAAAACTTCTTAATAAAGGTTATACGTTTTATTGGACGAAAACAATCGGCATTTTTTCCCAGCTCACAAAGAATACACTGAATATTTCATTGGTTTGAATAAATGGAAGAGGGAGTTATACTGGTAGAAAAAAACGTCATCGATTTTGGTCTTGTCAGTTTCAGTGGACACCAGCTAGGTGGTGGCAAAAGGATATTATAACACGGTTTGACATGAAACGCTTATTCAGGTAAAGAAAGCCCACTTCGAAGTTTCACGTTACTCTATCTCCGCGTACCACCTCTATATCAATCAAATACATCCTCCACCTTTAGATCATCCCTTTAACTCTTGTTTGTCCCTTATTTTTGCCACGATACATATTTTCCAACATATTCTTTTTAGCTCCGTATCCTCCTTTTTATTATCTTTAACCTTCTTTCTAACTGAACTCATTCCGAAATAAATTTAACTTAAAAAGTTCAAACAACCTACTCTAAAGCAAATACAATTTTGACAAGACAATATTAAAGCATGGTTCTGCCGATTTTCAAGAGTACGGCATGATCAACACACGCGAGCAGTTATTCATGGGTATCAGGTGATTGTCAGGCAGGTTATACAGATAAGTTGCATTCTATCTATTTGGTAATGGTCTCTCCAAGACCATTACGCTACTTGAGGGGGCTGTCCTGAAAACGAAAGACCGACCTATTAACAACGTTTAAATGAACTGTACCATGAAATAAGGTTAAGAAAAGTTTTGGAAACAAATATATTATTGAGAATGAGTGACACAATCGTTCGGTGAACAGTGGACGAACGCCAATACGATAGCTATTCTTATTCAAGCTCCTACAACTAGTCCAGGCAGTTCCTATTTCATTTCTTAAAAACTCACTGGATTATCTAACTTCCTTCTCCACCTGAACTCCTTTGTCTAAAGCCTGATTAGTCACAGAGAAGGCTCAAACAGCCTAAAACGACTCTGTTGATCTGTACACCTTTCTAGCTTGTTCGTCAATATTTATCCAATTATGATATTATTGACAATCTTAAACATTCATTCACACTTTAGAGGCTCGTTGATCTGATTCCAACTTGGATGAACGTATAAACGTGCTATGAACACAAATCTTTCATATTACCTAGGCTAACCCCGTTTTTGTGACAGCGGTAATGAGAAGCCAAATACGGGTTGCGTTGCATGAATTCATTTCAAGCACCCATTTATCTAGACACAAATTTAGAATAAGAAACCGAAAGGAAAGTGGATCAGAGAAGACGACTGAACCAACTCGATTTGATCAAGCAGGACTCAATATTTATAACCACAAAAAATAAACGAAAGACATGTGCCAGATAGGATAAGCATTGAATACGCTCTCATATAAAAATAATCAAGGTTAATAAGCGAATAAATGATAAGGCCAAAATATGACTCACGGATAGGGACTCAACTGTTCTATCCGGAAGCTAGAATGACCCATCTGAGCTTGACATATCTTTAGACAGTACAACACAGCTCCGGTATTTAATTGTTAGTTGATTGTGGCTATCTTTTAATATGGTGTAAAGGAAATCGATCAGAATTTAACGAAATTATCTTCAATATGTTATGGGCTAACTTGTGTTATCTCTCAAGACTTTATAATAATGTTCCTCAACATTTTATCTAGGGACAACTTGTTCTAATGTATAATATTTTTGTCATGATCTTGTATAAAACGATTGATTTCATTGGGCTTGCTTCTTGTTGTTTCGGCACCGTTCCGGATATTTGGTAGCGTCTAATGCATATCAGTCTAGCCTCTCGACTGCAGTTATTCTGGTCATTTTGGTGATTATCTGTGGATTTGTATATCATGTTGTTTAAGTGAGTGTGTTTTTTCCGGACAGCAGAGTTTTGTGTCCAAGAGTAATCAAATTGCCAGGAGGGAGGTTGGTTGGTTGCGATGTGGAAATAAGAAAAAGGTATTTAGAATTCTCAAGGAAGACCACTGTATAAAGAAATCAATAAGAGGTTTACTTAATTGGTACTGGGAAAAAGACGGAATTAAAGAAATAATAAAGGAGTAGGGGTTGTACTAAAAGTTATGGAAAGCAGTTACTAATATGCGGAAACTATAGACGTGGTGATTTATGAGACATGCTCCAGACACAGTTGGTACAAGAGGGGGACGGCAATCTATGTGTAGGTATGTGTTTCTCAAGTCTATTCATAAAGCAATCCGCTGAGAAGACTGTATTCACTTCGGCATGAAGAGCATTTCAAATCGCGGTTATTCCTAATGAGAAGGAGTGAAAG